AGTACTAATACTGTTACTACAGGTACTACTGCAGTACTAATACTGTTACTACAGGTACTACTGCAGTACTAATACTGTTACTACAGGTACTACTGCAGTACTAATACTGTTACTACAGGTACTACTGCAGTACTAATACTGTTACTACAGGTACTACTGCAGTACTAATACTGTTACTACTGCAGTACTAATACTGTTACTACAGGTACTACTGCAGTACTAATACTGTTACTACAGGTACTACTGCAGTACTAATACTGTTACTACTGCAGTACTAATACTGTTACTACTGCAGTACTAATACTGTTACTACTGCAGTACTAATACTGTTACTACAGGTACTACTGCAGTACTAATACTGTTACTACAGGTACTACTGCAGTACTAATACTGTTACTACAGGTACTACTGCAGTACTAATACTGTTACTACAGGTACTACTGCAGTACTAATACTGTTACTACTGCAGTACTAATACTGTTACTACAGGTACTACTGCAGTACTAATACTGTTACTACAGGTACTACTGCAGTACTAATACTGTTACTACAGGTACTACTGCAGTACTAATACTGTTACTACTGCAGTACTAATACTGTTACTACTGCAGTACTAATACTGTTACTACAGGTACTACTGCAGTACTAATACTGTTACTACAGGTACTACTGCAGTACTAATACTGTTACTACAGGTACTACTGCAGTACTAATACTGTTACTACTGCAGTACTAATACTGTTACTACTGCAGTACTAATACTGTTACTACTGCAGTACTAATACTGTTACTACTGCAGTACTAATACTGTTACTACTGCAGTACTAATACTGTTACTACTGCAGTACTGTAGTTAAATGCTCTGCGGGTTGTATCAGGTGGTGAGACAGTGAAACGTGTTGTGATATTTATTATTTATTCTTATTATAAAATAAGAACTTTACTTAAGTACTGCAGCATTAACAGTGTAATCTATTACTAACAGTACTCTCTCTGTGTCTCCAGTGAGTCAGCAGGCGGAGTCTTCAGCCTCCCCTCCCCCCTCCTACCCCTCCCCCTCCCCCTCTCAGACACCTGTCATCTCAACCACGCCCACACCTGTCCAGACCACGCCTCCTGTCTCTGCCCCGCAGCCCCCGGCAACCATGATGCCGTCTGCACTGCCTGTCGTCAAGGTAACGGATGTCTTGTGTGGGACAGAATCGTGTGACCTATGTCCTTGCCTGTCTGTCTACCTGTCTCTCTTCATACCTGTCTGTCTCTCCAACAGAAGAAAGGTGTGAAGAGGAAAGCCGACACCACCACTCCAACCACGTCCGCCATCTCCGCCGGTCGTGCCGACTCTCCGTCCGCTCAGGACACCAAACCGGCCAAACTAGGCTCGTCCCGCCGTGAGGCCGCCGCCCGCCCCGCCAAGACACGCAGGGAGACGGGAGAGGAGGTGGCGGTGGGCGAGGTGGGAGCTGGAGGAGGGGGAGCCGGGGGGAGGAAGGGCAGTAAGCTGGGCGAGCAGATGAAACACTGCGACGCCATCCTGAAGGAGATGCTGTCGAAGAAACACGCTGCCTACGCCTGGCCCTTCTACAAGCCGGTGGACGCCGAGGCGCTGGAGCTGCACGACTACCACGACATCATCAAACACCCCATGGACCTCAGCACCGTCCGGGTAATGACATCATCACATACAAAACACACTACCATGACATCACCACCACACACCTGAACCCGGATCAGTCGGTTTGACTCTCGGTTTTATTTCTGATTCACCGTTTTGTTCTTCGTCGTCTCGCCACAACAAGTCAAAGAGAACAGCTGTTAACAATGTACTGCCCCCCCCCGAGATATAGACACACATCAACAACAGGCTCACCTCTTCTTTGGTTCTGAACGCAGCTTTTTTTTTGCCTTCATTTGATAGCAAGAGATAGGCAGGAAAGGGGGGCAGAGAGAGGGGATGACATGCAGCAAAGGGCCGCAGGTCGGATTCGAACCCGGGCCGCTGTGTATATGGGTCGCCAGCTCTACCAACTGAGCTAACCGGGCGCCATGAACGCAACTTTTTAAAGAGTTTTAATTCTACATATTTAATATCTGTCGTCTCCCAACAGAAAAAGATGGATAAAGGAGAGTACAGCGATCCTCAGAGCTTTGCGACCGATGTCAGGTTAATGTTCTCCAACTGTTACAAGTACAATCCTCCAGACCACGAGGTGGTGGCCATGGCCCGCAAGCTGCAGGTACGTACAACCTCCAGAACCTTCGCAGCCGTCCCCTCAGTGGTTCAGTGAGTTAATCTCTGTTTCTGCTCAGGACGTGTTCGAGATGCGTTTCGCTAAGATCCCAGATGAGGGCCTGGAGGCATCGGTCCCATCTACAACGCCATTGGTCAGTAAAAGCACCGCCTCCTCTGACAGCAGCAACAACTCCTCCTCCGACGAATCGTCCGACTCAGAGGAGGAGCGAGCCACGCGATTGGCTGAGCTACAGGAGCAGGTTGGTG